AGGGGGAGTGAGTGCGGTGCTAGGAGAGTATATGGTTCATCACAGGTAGTGTAAAGCACAAATGGATGTCTAGTAGAAGAGATGTAATCTAGGCGCATCTAGTTCTAGAATTTAGAAACAAGTGCCATGATCTCGTCCATCAATAGCCCGCAACTCACGACTACATAGGAGCATACCAGTCCAATCAACCAATAGTTATTGAAACATCCCAGGAGATCGATCAGCACCTACTTACTAATAGTAACTCCCCCACCAATCCCATAGAACAAAGCAAGAATTTAATAACAATCATTCATAGTATGCTACAGAATAGTTGACACCCCACAAATTGATACCATAGAGAAAGCCAGCTATTACCCACACGCCCTTCCCAAAGGAATAACCAGACAAAACCCATTGATTTTGATCAAAACTGTCCAACATCGAATCTCTCACACACTACATAAGTAAAGAAAGATAGAGCTAGGCGAGGGAGAAGACATGATAACCCTCCCCCCACTCCCTGGGGGAGAGGGAAAAACAAAAAATGCTCGCACTCGGATTCGAACCGAGGATCTCATGATTACTAGTCATGCGCTTTACCAACTAAGCCATGCGAGCGATTGATGCTGCTGAGGCAGGATATTATGCTAGAAGAAGCTACGCTACGGTGAATAGGCGCGAAACCTGGGATCGCTGGAGATGTCAACATGTGCTGCATTAACCATAACCGGCAATGCCAAATCAACACTGCCCATGGCAAACACTACAGACAACAAAGCATGCGTTCAATAGAAGGTACTAATCTACAGATCAGGTACATAGTGATTAAGTGAGCGGGATAGCCGATCTGCAGACACTCGGGCTATGTATGCATGCATGCATGCACTGCAGCCAAGAGACCGGGATGGATTTAATTGAGAATGGCAATGGTGTGGTTCTCGGAGACGGCCCGGATTGCATCAGCACTTGATATGGATCTCGGGATACAACGTAGTAGGGGGTATTAAGCTTGTGGTCACCGATGTTTCAGTCGGTGTAGTCTACAGGGGGTCCATCGATCACGATCACCGGATCGGGATCTGTGGATGTTGAGTGCGTAGGGAGCGGTGGTGGTGGCTGTGATAGATCAGTCTGAGAGCTATCTGCGAAGAAAGGGGTGACTGGTATGTTATTTCCGTACTTTGGGATTTGAGTTTCTATGGTGCAGGTGATAGGCGTAACTTGATTAGATTCTGGAGGGATGGAATGTGTCTTCAGCTTTAGGGTGGGAAGGTTAAGTACGTACTATAGGAACAACCAGTGTACATCAATGTAAGATCCAAATATCTCTCGAATTGCAATCAGTAGGATCATCTCCATAGTGTGGTATGCAACTTTAATTTCAACCCCTATATCCACTAAAAAAAGTGTAGATACTAGACTAAGCACCATCTCCATCCCATCACTTCTCCCCAGAATGAAATAAATATAGCAAAGGGAAAATTCTCCGAACAATTCACAAATCAATCAACCCCAAATAAGATCCTTCAATTCCAAATTAATCCTCACCACAAAATCAATGTACACCCACTCATTGCCTCATCCCATCGATCTACTCAACCACTGATGGAGTGAACCATGGTTCTGTGATGATAGTCAGCGACCGGGTCGGGGACCAAGCCAGCTAAAATCTGCACTAACCAACGAATCCCCGGCATTTCCATCCTTCCATTCCCCTTCGATCGTCTTGTTTCCCCTGCACATCCTCTCCCCGACCGTCCGAAGGAACCGCTGGTCCACGAGGGTGATGTCTGCAGCTAGGATTAGAATTTAATATACCACCCCTGCATTAATGATGACCTGATATAGACAATGAATGTAGATATATATATAGCCATGTGCTGCAATCCGCAACATCAAAGCTTTGTAAAGATTCTCAATGAGAGGATGAGAAAGTAAATGGTTGAGACTCACTCACTCGGGGACTCCCGCCCAAATCGGCCCTCCAAGTTTCTGGTTCTGGTTTCGGGGACCAGTTCTGTCACCGTATGTGATTGGAATGTGTGGTCCCCGAACTGCCACTCACTTACTCGGTCTCTTTGTTCACTTCAAAATCGGTGAGGGAGGAAGTCGCCGTTACAATTTCCTTGTCCCGTACATTTCGTATTGTGATGTTGCTGGACTGAGATCCTTACTAATGGCTCGATTTTGGCCTTCATCTTGTTTGTTGCTTGGATGATGAAGGTATTCTTCATCTTTGATCACCTATCCCTACTATTCTCTGTATAGCTACAACATGTTCACGCCAGTACATACCGCGTTCGGGGCGTTGATGCTCTTCCAGGGCTCTACAGGATTGCTGTTGCACAATGGGGCGGTTTTCGGCATTTCTTCGCTCCTGTCGGGCGCTCTTTTGAATCCGACGAGGGATAATGTGGCTCTCATTGCTGGTCTAGTGTCAAGTGTTGTCCCCGTCGCTCTTTTCTTGCCGTCTGCCATCCCATCATATCCCACTGCACCAAGTTCTTGGGGATCGTGGCTCTTGACCGTGGGTCATGGTTTTCTGCTGGGATGGGGTACAAAGGTAGATGAAGCTGAGATCCCTCTCGAGAAAAGACAGCCGTAGGTGCTGACGGTCTTATGGGATAGAATGGTCGAGGTTGCACGTCCGGCCACATGCTCTGTGGCATTTCTCGATTGTCGCCACGCTCGTTCATTGCTACCGCTATCTTCTTCACCACCGCCCTACTCACAGCCAATTTCTTCGCTGGCGGCTCCAACATCCCCCCGTGTGCCGGTGGAACACCCTGCTACATGCCCGTCTATCCGTCGACTGCGGAGTTCGCCGTTATGCTCACCACCACAGTAGTTACATCCGTGATGAACTTTGTCGTCGTTCCCCGTACCCTCGAGAGATCCGAGCGCTCAAGGACTATGTTTTCGTATCTGGCGGGTCTGGAATTTGGCGTAGGACTGCTGTTCTCTGGAATGGCTGACCCAGCCAAGGTCCTGCGGTTCTTTGCCTTCCTGTCTGACCCTTCGCGATTCGATCCATCACTGGCACTTATAATCTTCTTCGGCATCGGCCCGTCACTGATAACCTTTTTGTCGACCAAACCGGGGAAAAAGACCGATAACAAAGCGGAACAGTCCACACCCACTCTGGCGGCACAATGGAGACTCCCCACTGCGACTGTAGCCGATATTGACTGGAAATTTGTGGCAGGCGGAGTCGCTTTCGGCCTCGCCTGGGGACTACGCGGAGTATGCCCCGGTCCAGCCATTCTGCGCAGTGTGCTCCAGCCAAGTTGGGGGCTTGCAGAGATGACTGGTTTTATGCTAGGAAATTTGATGTGATTTGTTTCTCGTTGCTGCGCAAGAGTGGTGGTGCTGTACCAAAAGCCGTTCTGGAAGGGCCATGCGCGGCGGGATGGCCGAGTGTTTCCAGTGTTTCCATTCATGAGCTATGCAAGCAATCAGACATCAGCACAGCTCATAAATATTCCGCGTAATAGATGTACATAGAGAATCAAGGGCCGCAATGGCAATTAAATGTGAATATATTCAGACAATGCTTACAGTTCAGTCTTGACATCGTAGCCAGTGCGCTTGTTCTTTCCATGGGCACCTTCTCGAGATTCCTGCTCAGATCCCGGCATGAAGCCTTCCAGCTCCATCCACTCTGCCGCAAATGCGGTAACTAACAAGCTCCAGTCCTCTACTGTCGCCAGGTCCAAATGTTCGCCATCGTCCTCAATGCGATGCCAGACTGGCGGGAACCCATGGGGACCCGCATCGATTACATGGAGAATCTCTACTCCGCGTTTCATGAAGGGAATATGGTCATCCTGGATACCGGAATAGTAAGGAATCTCGTGCTCGCTTTTGGAGGCATGTGTGAACCACAGCCGCTGCCGATCGGGATCATTGCCGGCGGACTTGAACTGGTTGAGCCGTCGCAGACGGCGCTCAAGGGCAGCTAATTTTTTGTAGGCCCAGTGCGTGGTAGGGAAGAATGACTGGATGGTTGGATCTTTCGAACCTAGCAGATCCAGGAGAACAAAGAGCGATATCGAGGCGAGAGGAGTCTTATAGATGGACATGGCTGGGTGGACATCTGCATCCCATTGTTCGGCGAGCGAGCGAGCACCGTAGAGGGAATCGGTGTCGGTCCAATACTTGAAGGCCTCCTCGCCGTCCAAGAAAAGCACCTGAATGCCCGTCTGCTCGTCCAACGGATTTGTCTCGCCCTGTGCCTGCATGGCCTCCCACTTCTTTGTCTGGGCTGCATCAATGCTCCTCATAGCATGCATAATCATGGCACAAGGAGCTGCACTGTCAATAGCCCCAATGAATCCTTCCGGTTCGTATTTGCTGTCGTAATGGGCGACCAAAGTAAGTCGCCCAACGTCGCCGGGGGCCGCCCACGGGGGGTCACGGGATGCGATGAAGTTCACAAACGGCACATCTTTACCATTCGACACGGGTGTCTTTGATGTCGAGTTTTGAAAGTCGATTTTCCAGTCAGGGAGCGAGTTCCGGAAGAAGTCGACGAAGTGGTTCAGCACGGCTGTCGATCCGGAGGTTCCAGACACCCGAGGCCTCAAAATCGGGGACAAGATTGCGCCAGTCTGAATATCAAAATCATCGTTCGGGCGGGGAAGAGATTCTAGTGTCTGATCCGAGATGGGCTGGTATGCGTTGCCTGGAGCGAGTAGGAAGAGGACGGTGATGTAGATGGAGAGCAAGGGGGCCAGAAGGCCACGATAAGCTGAATACATCGGAATAGCGGAGCGACTGGGGTCAGCGCGTCTTCATCGCAAAGGATATGGATAGCGTCTAGACAGCCTCCAATACAGGAGGATGGTGACGATGCCGACGACTAATGCCAGGGGGTGGTTTGTTGGAGAAGCGATGGTGATTGGGGAAGGTTCAAGTCTATTCCCATCTATTGTCGGCCCGTCAATCGAACCTCCGACCGCCAAGCCGGATCACGTTGCGGAGCTTCTCCAATTTCCCAGAAAAAAAGTCACCCGGCCATCCTTTCGCACTGAAGTCAGTCTTCACATCGTGTCCGTTCGACTCTTCTAACCTGCCAAGTGGCGCGAATATACCGCCGGAAGCTCAGCGCGAACTCATAAGGCCCCCTCGCCAAACCACCCAATGCGTCCTGTCATCCTGCTGAGCGCGCAATTGCGCTCCGCACTTCCCCGGAGCGTGCGGAGAGACCTCAACAGCAAGCTATTTGCTCGATTCAAGACAACTCAGAACCCTGTTCCTCCGCCGAAGCCCAGCGCTCCTTTCATCAAGCGAAAGGAGCCTATTGCACCCCGGAACCCACAGGCGTCACCTACCAAACATGCTAAATTGACGTTTCGCAAAGGTATTGCTTCCCCGCTAAGTTGCCAGGATAAGGAGAGAATCGTGCTGATTCGACATTTGTAGGGCCACCGGAGAAGGTAGTGGTGTATTATAGCGGAAAAGGGAGGACAGCCGTGGTAGGAACATTGAAGCTCGTTTCACTTTTAATATTTGGAGTTTCCTGTTTCCTTCTTGCTCCAGCATTCGCATCATCGGATGAGCATCCATGGTACCTCGCCCCTGCAAGTAAGTATGCACGGTCGCTTGTCCGATATACTCCTGCTGACCCTTAAAAAGTTGCAATTGGCGGCACTCTTCCGATGATCTTCATCCTCTACACCACCGCCCCGTTTGTCGTTTATGTGCACGTTGCCATTCCCGCCTTTGCCCGCCGCTCTCGTGAGACAATGATTGAATACGTGAAGAACCTGCCGCCCACGGCCACCTTGTATATGACTACCATTCGTTCAAGTTCGTTGCCTCAGCAGACAGAGGTCAGACTGGGTGACTTGGTTCTCAACAAGTCTTTCCTCCGGCCTGTGACCTTTACCAATTCAAAGCCCGCGCCCTCTCCTTGGTGGGCAGGAAAAACCCCTCAACACTTCTACACGGATGTGAGGGCCCAGCGCTCGACCCAATCCCCAAACTACTTTCCTACCTTGTGGGATGACGTGTTCAAGAAAATCCAGAACAATGGCTTGAAGAAACAGAACTGAGAGATTCACTGAACATGTTCTATACCAACCAGCAGAGTAGGAACTTTGACGGTACACGATCGCAATCAAAAGTTCCAGTCTGTGTTTTCGCTGTTTGCTTCGGTAGCCAGCGAAGCGGGTTGCCCTCAGCTCATTCACAGCTCTGAACTCAGGTCTATCTCTGCTGTTGCACAATTTGAGTTCGTGGCAACACAGTTCTTTCCTCGCCAAGGACTTTACCTGTTTATCATCTACACGCAGCCAACTCTCACCTCTGATTCCACTTTTTCCCTTACTTCTTTCTCGTTTACCATTCCTTACTTCACCCCAAGTCGCTCCTACCATTACATTCTATTCTCCACTACGTCCCGCACATCATCATGTCTGCACTAAAGCCCAACCAACCCGAAACCCTTCTGGGGCTGAGTATGGCCGAAGCGCGGATGATCATTCTCGGTGTACTGAGTTCCGATAAATCTGGCAAAGTATATATCCTTTTCTTCCAGCTATGGTGAAACCTCTGACAACAACTGCAGGTTGACTTTGATAAGATGGCCGTCAAGGGAGGCTACAAGAACGCTCAATCTGCCAGTACTCTTTATCACAAGGCCAAGCGTAGGCTTTTCGATATCCATAATACCCCGGCCGATCAAGAAGCTGGTACCTCTATCAGTCCTGCAAAGGAATCCGCTTCCACCACTGCCACTCCCAAGAAAACGCCCGCAAAGCGTGGCAAAGACAAGGCTGTCGCCGATGATGACAACACTGGTGCTATCGAGACTACTCCAACTCCTTCCAAGGGGAAGCGTCAGAAGACGGCAGCTACCCCGAAGACCCCGAAGACCCCTCGTTCTGCGCCGAAGGCTGTGAAGACAAAGGCTCCGTAGGTAATTTTTCCCCTTGCGCCTGTCCTTGCTGCTGATTATGATACTCCTACATAGAAAGCCTGGAGGCGACACTACCCCCACTCCAGTCGAAGGCAAAGTCGCCGTGAAGAAGGAAGAACACGATACGGAGCTCGAAAAAAGTACCGTCAAGGAGGAGTCGAAATCTTCTGATGACGAGAAACTTATGAGTACCAGCCAGATGAGTGCAGAGTTCTCTGTCATGGGACAGTGTCCAGACACTCCCAAGTAAATGAGTCTGACTTGAAGAGTCTGGTAGCGTGGTCCTGTGCTTCTCGTCAGGCCGAGTGCTCTATGGAAAGATTACACAGCAGTTTCTTATGCAGTATCATGAGATGGATGGAATGAAAGGAAGAAATAATCTGTTTTTCTTTGATTTGATATGGTTGGCCGCGATGGGTTGTCTATTACTCCTAGTGGTTACGGCGCTTTGCAGTTCTACTGTTTTCCCAGTTCGTGGGTGTCAGTATCGTATCCAACCCAACTCGGCTTGAAATTCGGAGAATGGGGTGGTATATGGATCTCGGTAGTGAAGAAACATCCATGTCTCCAAAAATGAACGAAAAGTCATGAGACTCGAACATTCGGACATTATACATAAAGGGTGCGACTAATCGTAATCAACCCACTTTTCAAGCCCACAATCTAAATGTGATATTCAGTACTGCTCCCTATTTTACGGTCGAGTCCCCTGGACATGCGCTCATGCGGAGCGGGCTGTCTGAATATCCGATATAATATGGATAGAGAAGAGCGCAAATGAACATTCAATGAATGACAACACTTTAGTTAAGAATGTCTTGCCCAATACGGCAAGGGGACATGCCATAGCCATTAGCTCCCTGCATTGCAGTAGAACAGCATGCCGAACAGAATCAGAATAGTTTAAGATCTCTGAGCAACTCTGTATTGCAGCTCGCCTCAATGATCATCCCCAACAGGCCCAATCTCTTTGTCATGAATTCCGCCACTGTATCGGCAGACACCTTTCCAAGTACGACGATGATGATAGTAGGGGGGAATATTTCTGACGAAATATGAACTTTGCATTGGTCTGTATTCCACGGCTCGGAATAACTTCATATATAGAGCACGCCAGATCGTAATACTTGTAGTGTTCTCAGACATGTTTTCACTAAAACATCACTAACCACAAAAAGTCTTAGTTAACTTTGTGTTCCCTGAAAAAAGAAGGTAGAAGACCCGGTGCAAGAGTTATTGCTCATCCCCTTTTCGCATAAATCGCTCCACTCATAAGCTACACCTTACAACCTTCACAGAAAATGAAAACCACCCTTGACAATCACTATTACCCTCCTGGCTACCAAGGAAGTGACAATCACGCCCCTCCCAGAAATAGACAAAAGGGGTGACTTTGCAAATCATTGTCTTCCTCAAACTTTTATGGAGACCCCGACCTTGAACTGGGGGAGTACGAGACACCCCCAAGGATTCAGATGGCAAAGTCTTGATCCGTAACCAGCAGGAAGGGACATACATCCTCTGCAGTGCGTATTGGAAGCGAGTGTTACGCAACAGCAGAACAGGGGACTTTATTGCATCAACCAACTCAGCTCGCGGAGATCGATGGTAGAACCTACTACCAAATTTTTAGCAGATGGCAGCGATGTTGATTCCCCAGAAAAGCAAACGTTCGCTCTCAGGGCGGTAATACCTTGACATTCTCGCTTCCTCAGACCCTAATAATAGCCAGCAATTCCTTTCCATTGAGAAGGTGGATGAATAGATAGACTAGATGTGTGGCATTCACCTTATTGTCTCAATTTGTTCTATCGGTTCAAGTGTCTATGTATGGGTGAATGAATGAATGCCCTAGGGATGGTTGGTAGCAGTGTAATTGGGATACTAACTTCCACTTTTGTTTTCGTCCCTATTATGTTATATTCCAGGCCCTAGTCTACCTCTTCTCATCCATACTTATAGCTTGTCGGAAGAGAAAAGAATATATATATACCAATACACAGCCCTTGAAACTCCAATTAAACCCACTGCATCGAAATCTCCTGCAATTCATTTTCATCGTCATACACACCAATGCGGAGATACTTTCCACCTTCAAGAACCCACATACTTCCTCCATCAATATCTTCAATCGTAGCGAAAAGATGATAGTAGTCTACTCCATCAATGTTTTCTGACTCGATTGATGTAAAGAAGGTTCCGTCGTCCTCAGTAGAAAGACTGCAGCTTGTCGACTGCCCGCTGCAGCTGATATAAGATCCCAAGAAAACATTGCGAATCAAGAACCCTTGATTGGTGTTAATGGATTCCCACTCATCCAGGTTGGGGAGGCCGTATATGTTGTTGCTGAAGGCTATGGTTTCGTTGGCGTTTGCCGCATCTAATATCGGGAGTGCGTATTCGGTTCCACCGCGATAGCCGATGCGGAAGTTGGGTGCGGCGTGGCAGGTGAGGGCGGAGAGGAGGGTGGTGGTGGTGGCGAAGAGGATGGATTTCATCTTGGTTGTATGGGTGGATTTTATTTAGAGAAAACGGCAAGCTTTATGGTTATGGTTGCTCTAACCTTGTGTTTGAGCTAAGCAGTAGATGATTGATTGATAGGTGCGAAGAAAGGGAGGAGTAGAGATGATGGGATTTATATTAGATAGGTTCGAAGCAACAATATTGTAACATTTTGAGGCGAGCTGAACTAACACACCCATTGTGTCTTAGAATCATTGACTCTCACCATTGGTATGTAGTATCTCGTACCTACTATCTACGAGTGTTCTGGAATGCAATCTGCATGTCTTGGGCCTTATTAAGCAAGTCAAGCCCTAGGAGATAAAGTTTGGGTTCGGGTAATTCTCCGCGGAATGCAACAGGGGCAAAGTTTGGAAATGCTACGGTTCGACAGCCACAACTACAAATTAAGTTACTGGCACTGGGACGCCAGGGGACTGCGAGACAATTGTATGAGTAGAAGGAAGGTGGAGTCAATGGAGTTCGCGGATGGTGTTCCTTGCGGGATGCCTCACGTCATACCGTCACAAAAATTGTCTCTTCGATCCCCCTTCTGGTATAATCGTCATGGACTTGGAGATTCCGATGCTGGATACATTCTCTCAGCTATTCTGACTCGTATTCTATGCAGAATACTACATTGAATGTAGGTAGGCTGATGGATGATTGAATTCTGAAGCGGGTTATATGGGAAACGAGTAGGTAATGGATACTACCAAAGTGGCTTTTGGGAAACTGCCACTATGATCACTACCTACAATGATGGATTACACTTTCAGTGATATGGCAGATAGTAACAGCATGAACAGCAGGAGCATTGAGGCAGAGTTTCATGTTCATTTTGAATTCCCTTCTTTCGCCTCCCACAGTAGAGCATCATTTCTTGTTATTACCTTGCTATCCTCCTCCTCATCTAGTCTACAGCTGGACTTTATGCAGAAATCTTACTTTGATCAAGAAGAATCACGCTCGCAGGCTTACAGTAGGACAAGATGTAAGCTTAATCCACCCTGGTCTTGGCATGCACAATACCACGTGGTTTATCATCTAAGGACCCTTTCCTGCCTGCAGCGAAAAAGGTCCGCTTGACGCAGAATTAGGTCAACAATTGGTCGCCAAATGAGAATACTGGGGAGGGGAACTATAAATTTTGAAGAAGAGAGAGGATGTAATAAGTTTAACAAAATGAAATGTTATGAAATAGGAAACGCAACAATAACCGACCATAGAATAGTACATGAAAGAGAAATGGTACCAACCGGAAAATGTATCCGTACTTCTGCAGGGTATGAGCCGCCCAAAGACGAGACGGCGCGAAGAGGCCATAAATTGGGGATTGAAGACCTCAATAGAATAAGGCGTACCGAGGAAGTATTGTCGCGTAAAGTAAGTGATTCAGAGTGAGTAGTACTTTAGTGTAGGGCAGTCCTACTTACTATCTAGTGAGTACCTGACTGATAATTTTCCGGGACTGTAGAATGGGTCTATAGTGTTTATGAAGATATGCTATTAAATCTGTATCAACACAATTCCTTATCCTGGTTCATCCCTGATACTCCTTGTTCAGTCCCCACTCAACAGCAGCAATCTGCAAAGCAAGGACGGGAGAGAACTGGCGCGACCAGGAAAAGCTGCCTGTCATGTACCAGAACCCTGGCATTCCAGTCGGTCTCCATACCTATGAGCGAAGAAATGTTAGCCCTCTGGCGACTGGAAAAGATGCGGGATAGTAGCAAACTTACACCGAGCCGTTCCTGACTCCCATCCAAACTACATATCACGCCGGGCACCTTGTCCAGGATTTCCCTAGGCACGATGCGCTCGATCAACTTGTCCGTGCGTTCGAAACCCGTCGCAAGGATAACCACATCCGACTCGATCTGGGTACCATCGGCGAGGGTAATTCCTCCAGGGTAGTATTCCCGGACGCCTTCCTGACATCTCTGCACCTTAATTCGACCATCGAGAATCATCCCGCATGCACCTTGATCGATATAGAAATGACCCGCCTTAATCAGCTGATGGTCAACAAGACTGTCGCCCTGGTCCCCTCTCTTGACCGCTAATCCGGCCTTTTCCAGCCCGTCCAACATGTCCTTATCCAACATGGACATCATCTGCGACGCACCAACACTGAGAGTCCGAACAACGGCCGTGGGGAACGAGTTACCCAGAAGATCCGCATCATCGGTGCTCAAGCCCGGCGTATCCCAGAGCTTCACTTGAAGCTCCTCCACGGACTTGAGAGAGGCCACGAAGAGAGGATTGCGCTGCACTATTGTGACCGATTTCGCTCCATGACTGGCAAAGTCCTGGGCAACGTCGTGTGCGCTTGTTCCGGCACCGATGATGGTAATCTTCTTGTTCTGAACGTCGGGCATCAAGCTCGCGGACTGATGCGCGGATGTGTGGAAGATCTGACCCTTGAAGTCGTTCTCACCGGGGAAGGAGGGCTTAATGGGGATATCGCTGAGGAGACCCGTCGCGAGGACGAGGTGCTTGGTGGTGATGCTCTGTACGCTGCCGTCGTTGGATTGGAGGTCGACCGAGTACCGCTGGGTCGACGGATTGTACTGAATGTTGGTTGCTAGCGTGCCGTGTCTGACATTGAGACCCAGAAGATCTCCATAGTGCTCCATCCATTTGGCAATGTGCTCCTGGTCGAGGTAGCGCGGCCAGGTGGTGGGGTACTTCAAGAATGGAAAGTGGTCCATGTAGCTTGGGGTGTGTGATTTGATGGACGTGTACCTGGCACGCCATGAATCTCCGGGGCGGGCTGTTTTGTCGACGACCAGGTACTTGAGGCCGAGATTCTGTAGGTGAGCGGCCAAAGCAAGACCCGATTGACCTGCGCCCACGACCAAGACTTGCAGGTCGCTGCCCTCGTTCGTCGATTGAGGTTCAGAGCCACTAGACTGTACCTCGGCCGCCTTCGCCCTCTCTGCCTCCAGCTCGTCTTGTCCATTCAGACGCTCGAGTACAGTAAAGACCGTCCACGCCTTCCACTCCTCGGGCCCTACATTCGCCAGGCGAAGAACTCCCCTACCCTTGCCAGCCTTGGTTGTGAACCCAAATCCGGCCTGGATGAAGCGCATACCACCCAGGTCAGCCAGGTGCGGCTGTAATGCGCCAGGCTGATCGAGTTTCGGGTCTGAAAATCCACTGGTGGAGCTGGCGAGGTAGCTGGAGATGGCCTGGGAGCCATTATGGCATGCAATGTCCCACGAGAAGGAAACAAAATCGCGCCACCAAGATTCCTTCTCCAGGAAGTGGGCTTGGATAGCATCTGGCTTACCCGTGGAGAGGCTCTTTGAGAAAGATGTGAGCCACTCGTCGGCGATCTTGGCTGCATTAAGCTGTTCTGCGTCTATGGAGGGGTGCAGAGTAAGGTTGGGAAGAGCCGCTAGCGGCGGAAATTCTCCGGAGATTGATCCCATGATAAATGGCCGTGATTGAGAGGGTTATGATAGAATGAAGCGAGGGAAATGTTTGTGTTGCTGGAAACCATGTTGGTTGATAGCCCTTATATAACTAAAAGCTGACAGCTGCGTGCCGGATGGACCCGACATAGTGCTTAGGCCGACAGGTGTTTAGCAACTGTCCGTTGGAATACAAGGCTGCTGGAGTGGAGCAGCCACTGCGCCAGGTTGCGATCGGGATCCCCATCCCAGCCTCAACATCCTTTGTTCGTATCCGAGCTAAAATAGTGGTATCATACTACTCCACCTGTTTTGTATGGTCAAGCATTTACATCGAATGCTGAGGTGGACCCTAGTCGTTAATAGGATCGCGTCTCGCGTTCAACAAGTACATACTGTGGTTTTATCCATGTCAAGCTTATTAGTGGTGTGTGTGGCCTAAGCTGTCTGGGATGAAATTCTAGACCTTTACCAGTTTTCTTGATTCTGGCAGTAGGATACACAGCCCTGCGGGGAGATATAAGCATCTTCCTAAATAGAAGTAATTTCTGTGACTTCTCACAAAGTAAGGGCAGGATAGCTAATAGATAGCAGGGTACTCAATGTTCTCTTTCACATACAAAAATACAAGACGGGGGGAAACCCGAACATCTTTCCCCAAGCAGGCAGGGCTAGTGCTGTGACACTAAACAGGCGGCTACCAATGGCTCTATGAGAAGGGGCCAAGCCCCCATACAGACCCCACTGGGACCATCCCACCAGCGATCCACCTGCTCAAGTATCCGCCAGAGCACCTAACGGTTTAACCGCGCCTATCTATTCGTGCCATCGTGTCATCCTTCCCCGTGCTGGCACATTGTCATTCGCCGGGTGGTTAAGTTCAGCTGGCTAAGCACTGTCTGTACGACCAAGTCTTTGTTCTTCCACTACGCTACGGGCAGCTAGACAGCTGAGCCTCACCAATGGGATGTAAATAGCGCACATGCGATGTACGCGGGGTAGAGCCATGTGTCTGACGTGCATAATGGATTCTACTACTAATTTTTTTTTTCTTAAGATATCCATTGTCAATGTAGCGAGGAACCAGGTGATTCCTTGCTATCTTTGCTGCCTAAGCACCAGTTTCCTGCTGTGAGGAGGGGGAAGCATTCGCCCCTGACCTTCCATTCAAGCGCAGGCAGGTCTGTCCCTTCCCCGAATTATCTCTGCCGCCCGCTCTGCAACGGCATACACCGTCGACATGGGGTTCGCTGCTGTCACAGTAGGGAAAACACTAGCATCGACAACGCGCAAGTTACCAGTCCCATGAACCCGCAACTCGGTATCCACGACACCTCCCTTCTCCCGCGGGGCCATGATGGCCGTCCCGCAGAAATGATGCGCCGCCACGACCGATGCCCTCAACGTCTCCTCTACGACACCCGGGTCCTGAGTCTCAGGGCTGGGGCCCGGTGCGGAGCCAAGAATCCCACTGAATGGGGAGCAATTTGGGAGGGCGTGAAGGGTCTTGAAGTGCGCCGCCATGAGTTTAATATCAAGGGGGTGCGACAAATAGCTCGGGTCGATGATGGGCTTGTCAGTGGGCTGGGAGGAAGAGAGGTGGACGGATCCGCGGGAAAGAGGGTACGAGGGGATTAAGCCAAGAATGGCCATGGAGTTGGGCAATGTGCTAAGGAAGAAGCAGGCTGTTGGCTCGGAGGGGTTGGCGAGGAGATTGTTGAGGGGGGGATGGGGAGGGTGACGCGAGAGGAGGTCTGCTTCAGCACCCGAGCGGACGAAAGAGATGGCCTGAATGCCGGGGGTGGGGGAGGCGGTATCCGGCAAGGGCTGGATGGGAACGGGAAGCACGGCCATGAGGTGACTGTTGAGATTTTCTCCAACGGAGGGGTTGTCAATGATGCAGGGAATGCTGTGCGTGGAGAGGCGGGATGCAGAGCCAATGCCGGAAAGTTCGAGGAGTTTGGGGGTGTTGAAGGCGCCCGCGGCGAGGATTACTTCTTTAGTGGCTGTGATGGGAGAGGGATCATTGTGGAGAAGGACCCCGGTGGCGGTGACGGTGGTGCTTGTCGTGTCGAAGAGGATGCGCTCGACCGTGGTGTTGGTGAGGATGCGCAAGTTTGGGCGTGAGGCGGCATACTGAGTGCTTGCGCTGCGGACGCCTGTGGTTGTGATGGTAGCCGTGTAGGGGCGGGTGCCGGTGGTCGGGGTCGGGATCAGGGTATCACTGAAGGCGTAGCCCTTGTCCGCGAAGGTCTTATTCCAGGCATCAATGATGGTGTGATTCCTTGGTTCCGCCAGTGCTGGATAGGTAACTTCGATGGGCCCTGTTGCGGCGGATGCAGCAGCGCCCGGACCATTGCCAGGAGCAGCTTCGGGGCAGACATGGAAGCTACGGTGAAAGTACGGGGCCAACGACTGCCAGGACCAGCCGGGGTTCCCCAGCGCCTCCCAGGCGTCGATGCCCGCCGGGGCGGGCGGCACAAACGCCAGCCCGTTGATGGCGGATGTACCGCCCAATAGCCGGCCCGCGGCGTAATCTTGGTCTCGGTTATTCAAACCGGGCTGGCGCGCAGCAGTTAACATTCGATAACTGACTCCCAGGAATGAATTCGATAGATAGCACACACCTGTGGTACGACCTTGAACTGCCAGTCCACTTCCGACCCGCTCAGAGTGGGCCACGCCGCGGGGTTCTGAACACGCTCGTCCGAGCTGCGGTCCGGTCCCGCCTCCAGCACGAGCACATTGACGTCGGGGTCTTCCGACAGGCGGTTGGCGACCACCAGGCCGGCAGTGCCACCGCCGATGACAATGTAGTCAGCGGTTGGGTAGGTCATGTTGGTCATATTTCTGAAGGTGTCGTTGCAGCAGGAAGTTAAAACGAGGAGGATCTTGTTGGTGGATTAATCCTATATAATGGTAAACGGTGCGGGAATGCGTGTTGCTTAAATACTAGGAATCAGCACACACAATCAGAGGGGATTATTCTTGGACCCAGTGAAGGATGAATCTGGACAATTTAAACTACCTACAACTACTACTTGTAGTGGGGTCCAGTGACAGAACCGAAAGTGGCTATGCCGCGCACTATAAAGTGCGGCAGGTACGTGGGGTTTGCTGCTATCTATCTAGACTGAACTTCCAACGTCAGCTTAGGGTTGAAGGGCCCCATCGCTTAGGCCTCGGTCAGATTTTCGGCCCTCACTAGGCTCCACACAACGCATCACCAGACCGGAGATCTCGACGTCGGGGGCCCAAACTTAGACTGCAATCGCCGCCGCATCCACTAGTAATCTATCCCGCTGGGATCTGCGGTCTGTTGACTAAGAGGGTTGCCCAAGGGCTGTTTGGCCCAGGAAATGGAAACGTCTCGTCACTAACGATACCAAGGTTCTTTTGTGATCACCGGGTTGCTGCAGTCACACCTTGACATGAAAAAGAAGTCAAGACCTCTCCCTGAACTATCTCTATGCCTTTCCCCTATCTTGCATTGCGTGGTTAAGTATACAGCATTTTTCTGGGTTATATTCAAGATTATGTTCCAGTTGAACAATTCGTGATACTTACAGCCTTTTACCGCACCATCGATGAACGAACTGGCTTGATGTAACCTAATGATCAAGGAATACTTGCGTGGTAGTGAAATCTAACTGGTCTCACGATTGGAAGTTTCTATAAAGTTCGTGAAATACATCTGTATCCGGTCCTAAACTACTCACACGCGACAAAGCCTTCCATCTGTCTGTTCCGCCCACTCTTCACTTCCCACAGCCTTCAAAGCGTAAAAGGTGTGGTTGGGGTCGTACTTGTTCTTGATAGAGCTTAACTTAGCGTAATTGTCACCGTAGAACGTTGACTGCCAATTAGGCTGGTTAAAGTCAGCCTCATTTAGGTAAGCACCGCTGCCAGGCGTCAAGTTCTCAAGCAGGGGGAGAAGTGTTTCCGTCATGAGTTTCTGGTTTTCGACGTCATGGGTATAGTTGTAATAATCGAAGGAACTATAGATAGGTAAATCGTTTGACAGAGCTTCATACTCCTGATCACGACAGAGAAAGACTTACGTGCCGAGGACAATGCGAATCAGCGCATCGCGCCATGCGGGGTTGACAGAGTTGTCTGGTATAGTCGACCGTGAAGCGTTGAAAGAGACCCCTGCAACGACTGCACCGTAGTCGGTGATGGTACGAAAGGACTCAACGAGTGGGCGAAGTTCGTCATCTACCGTGCTCCGCGGGATCAGACGACCGCCGATTTGAAACTCGGTCACGGCCATCCAGGGGCTAAATCGCGTGTAGCATTCATAAAAGCTGGAACAACTGGCAATGCTGTACGCTGTACCAGTTAGTAGTGACTCTGATTGAGATGATTAAACGTACTATAGGTCATGTTGTTGCTGCGCAGAAGGTCCAGGGTGGGCTGCATCAGCGCCTGCAACTGCTCCTTGGTGCCGCCGGGTAGCGTGAACGGCATGCTCTTGAAGACCGCGTTAGTGACTTCCCAAACCGCAGCACCACCTAAATCGGCCAGCCTAGTCGTATCCTGGATGTAGCTTGCAGCAACTTCCCAGAACATATCCTGGGTTACTCTGTCATTGGTGAAGGTCAAGTTGGCGATGGCGGCCGGAATGTCAGTATAAAGCTTGCTGGTCATGGACAGGGCGACGGCGTAGGTGCCCCCGCCGCCACCGCTCATCGCCCAGTATAGATCAGAGTTATTGAAAGGGGTAGCAACCAAGTGGTCTCCGGTGGCGGTGATTACATCCACTCCAGAACCTGGTCTGCAGCTAGGCCATACATGGACATCAGCTGGCCGTGGCCTCCGCCTTGAGAATACCCACCAGCATAGCCTACTGTCTGGCAGTTGCCACCCACGAGGGTGTATCCCTGCTCATGGGCCGCATTCATGGCGTCCAAAATCTGCACACCCGCGCCGACCTTGATGGCGGGCCCGGAGTAGCTTGTTGACTGGTATTCGACAATTTCGATATCTTTCAGATGATGAGTCCAAAGGGCCAGGGCACCAGCCCCAGTGGACCTGCCAAGATAATCGTGGCCAGTATTGCGGACAACAAGACGGATATTATGCTTGGTAGCAAACTCGATGGTTGTCTGATAATCCTGCGCGCTGCTGGCATTCACGGCATACCGGACCAGGGGCTTGATGGTGCAGGGTGTGTTGGGCAGGTATGGATCGCAGGAGAAATTGGCAAACCACGGCGCCATTGGGGAGTAACTGGTCTCATAGTGGGTTTTGGTTTCGTTCCACACTGCCAGCAGCTCCTCACAAGCCGCTGCATTGTATGGCAAGAATGTACTGTTGTAGTGGCAGACACTCGCAGCAGGGACTGTGGCAATGAGCCTCCCCCCCAGCGTAGCGTTGAAAACGTCCCAGTCCTGCGTAGAAGGCCAGCACACATCTCCGGGAAAGCAGCGACACGACAAGCCGGTTGAAGCTGAGGCAATGGGTAGCAATGAAACGAGGGCGTAGGACAGTTTGCCGGCCATTCCGGAGGAAGCACAAAACTTCAACGAATAATAGCGAAGTGACTATTAGCTTGCATTCGAACTCGGCTCTGGATCCTGCCAGGAATTTGACTAGATCTCTCCTGTCAGTTACGTGTTCGCCAAGGCCTTTTACTTCGTATACTTTGTATACTATGCAGGTCCAAGGGGAGGCGCTAACGGCTTACCGCCACACCCGTCTGGCTGCCTCCACATCCGTACCATCCGCTTCCGCGGATACCTCATGACGTGTCGAGGGCTCACATCACAAACACGTGACCGGAGAGACCATCTCATAAATGATGAGTTAGGATGCTAGAAACTGTGTTTGCTTTGTTGCCGTCTTTCGTATTAGATTTCCGGTATGTGGGATTGCTGATCGGAACGCATGCACTTGTCAGACCAACCTTCGGGGTCTGGCGGCTCCTGTTTCGCCAGACCAGTCGTTGAGCTGGTCTGCCCTACTAATACCACTAGGGGTATGCCTCTACTAAATTCGGGGGCGAAAACGCTATGCCGATCTCATTATTCATACCGTGTATGTGAATCAAATCTGCCGTCTCGCCGCGGCTGCGACCCAGCAGAAGAATGGAGGTAATACCCCACCGTGTCTACTACGTGCCCTATCCGGTCTGATATGTTCGCTCAGGGCCGTCAATGAGTAAGAAATGAATCCGATAGCAGAAAGTCTGTTCCGCTCTGTCAGTCAGACTCACCTGCCCTGTAATTACCCGACCTTCCTCTATGGATTGGATGGGCCTCATACTGTAATCAATATAGCTTCATCCTGTACTTGCATAGTGGGAGTTGGACAAGATTACAGTGCCACATGGTGATACCATTTCACTCCCTCGTACAGACTATTGACTGAATTATTTCTCTCAAGTAAAGAACATCGAACTCACCACAAGCTCATTGTGGCACAAAAAAATCCTACTTTGTAAGCAAACACTGTATCATGACTATACGGTACCCCTTGGCAGTCTATCCACCGACCATCCTGTCTACCATATAGCCTTGCCATGGTAAACTCCCCATACTTTTGCATTTCCGTATCCATCAATATAGATTGGTCTGTATACTTACCATATGGTTTGCAGCTACTAGAGTTCAGTTGTGAATCGTGTATAAGGTGGAATTGTTGCGAATTAGCGTCTTGCCTAGGGCTACGCTTCGTTGAGAAGCTCAAATTTATAAACATTTCCTATTGCTTATTAAAGCAATTCCGTCGTATTTACTGATTGCCTAAATGTAACTCTCTCTGAGTAACCAGGACTAATCATGGATACTCCACTAAAATCAATCACAGAATTAGTTGGATTCATCCCTAGTCATCCTATTAAGTAAGCTCTACTATTATCAGTAGTGATTCGGCTTAATAACTTTGTGATGCTGGTCTGATATCTTCTATTGAACAGGTAAACAGGATGAAGAGGATACTTGCTTACTTGACTACAATCAACTCCTGACAGTAAACACATACTATTCTGTAGATCCCTCCGATTCCCATCCCTCAAAGTCCTCACAGCTTGCACCAAATTGACGGCAGATGTGGCAAATTCGATATTTCCTGCACCCCGAACCACATTCAATGCCTCTGTCATCTCGATTGAGACCAAGGGTACAGACATCGCAGGTCTGCATTGACCGATTCGACTCATAATGAAGAAATGCACGGATTTCTTCTCTCAGACAACGCTTCCCCAGTTGCATGCCGTAGCCGACAATGACTTCTCGCAAAGCATCATTTCCAGTCAAGCGCATCCACCACGACAGACTGCGATCAAAGCGGTCCAGGGGCTCCTGTGTTAGCGGATGGTTCTCAAGGATCTTCCGAATGACATTCTCCCGTCCGTGCTGAACCGCTACAACTAGGGGGGTGAAGCCAAATTGGTCAGGACGATGCACGGCGCAGCCCCGGGATCTAAGTTCTTCGAACATGTCTTCATGACCAGCGACTGCCGCGTGGAAGAGCGCCGACCGACATTGTTGATCAACGTCATCCAATCCGACACCGGGAGTGTGTAGTAATTGGGTGAACACTCCTTGGCGGCCCTTAATGACCGCCCAGGAAAGCGCGTTTCGTCCGTAGCGGCCGTCAACCCCCTGAAGGGAAGTACCCTGCTCTATCAGCATTGCGACCATGTCCGCTTTGCCCTGGAACGCAGCCCAACACAGAAGAGGCATACGGAGGGCGCCTTGCTCGACATCGCTGCCCGGATAGCGTAATAGTATCTTCACCATTTCCGGAGTGCCCCGACAGATAGCCATTCCCGTGATGGTAGTCCCTTTCAAGAAATCGTTACGCTCGGACTTTTGCGGGAGTAAGTCGGGCTTGCGTTGCAGGAAAAGCTCGAGGATATGTGGCCAGAACGTGTTTCCAGCCTTGTTTTGAAATTCGTGTTGAGCCAATATTACCATCTCCAAAGGTGTCGTGTTTAACACGCCCGGCGTATCAACTTTCGCGTTGTGGTCCATAAATAATTTCACAATTTCCAGGTTGCCTTTTATTGCGGCGCAGGCTAGGGGTGTCAATCCTTCACGAGTACTGACATTGACGTCAGCTCCATTCTCCAGCAACATGGCTGCATCCTCAAAGCAACAGTTAAATGCAGCGCTATGTAAAGCAGTAGGGCCATATGATCCTAGTCGGGCCTCCACGTCCGCTCCTCCTTCGATGAGACGCCTCATGATTTTCTGCCGCGCCTCAGCTTCCCATGAATTCTTGGGCTTTGTCTTAACGAGTGTAAAGAGCGGCGTAAACCCACCGGCATCTATCGGATTGACGTCGGGATTGTACTTTTCGAGCAGCAGGTTGACTGCTGCCACTTGATAGGTCTGGGCTGCGAGAGCAAGCGGCGTATGCCCGTCAGCATTGACAGCTTCAAGATTGGCTTGATGCTTCAACAAAAGCTCTAATGCCTCCAGGTTCTCGTCGTAGGCGGCCCAATGCAGCGGGACGAACCTGCTACCATCCGCATCCGTCTCGTTCACGTCCTCGCCGTTCTCCAACAACATGCGAACTATCTTCGCGTTACCACCCTCTGCAGCACAGGAAAGTGGCGTGCGTCCACCAATAGACTTTTTAACTTTCTCCTGGTCCCTTTCGGAGCCAACAATGCTGTTGAGGGCGTTCTTGTACTCTGATGCAATCATTAGAGTCTCCGCATAGCTAGTGCTGCCATCCATGGCTCTGATCCTCCGCCGTTTGGCTAGAAGATCAGACACAGTGTCCTCTTCCCTTAACAGACAGACCATTGCCAGGGCGAGCCGACTTTCACAATCTTCGGCGTCGGTCGTCAACCTGCCATTATCTTGCCGCCGAATGGTAAGCTGTTTCATTTTGGCCGACAGGGTCGAAACTGGGTTTGGCGACGACATAATGAGGCGATCAATGGATGGCAATAAATGCGTAATAAGCGAATTTTCTGATGCCTTGCTTTTGAAAGTTCAGTCTGATCATGATGGTATTCTTGAGTTGTGCTCTGATCGATCTATATAGCTTTGCTCGAGGCGCAAGGGAGTGCAACGGTTAGGCAACGGCTCCCTGGTGCCTGCCCCTGTGATACGTCAACTGCATCATGCCCCATCCCCATGCATAGATTGTGGAAGGCGTGGTTACCTGGCGGCTGATAGCATTTGCTGCCTGAAATTCCTCATATAGGTATTTTTAAGTGGCGAGTCGAGATTGTCAGAATCGGGGCACAGTCAATATTAATGAACATCTTGCCAAATATCTCTTATCTCACAATTACATGTACGCCTTGCGCACCTTTCAAAGTTTGAAGTCCCGCCTATCGACTACGACTCAACTCAATTCAATTCCACCGCTTATATCCAGCAGTTGCTCCTTGCTCGCAAATTAAGCCCTACTCATATTCACCTCAACTGGTAAGTTGTGGTTACCATCGCATCCAATGGACAACTTTACCAAGTGCTAATATTTTAAGTGCCTAAGATTGAAACGGATATCAGAGCATAGATTTACTGTTTATGCTGCTTTAAAAAGGCTAATTAGCTACCGAATTCGGCTGTTTCCAATACCTTTTCATGTACATAAACGTAAGATAATCTTACCGACTAGCTTATTTATATAGTTTCTCCCGCAGACAAAAGCCGAGGACCATTGACTAACAAGTAATGCTACGTCGAATCCTTCTAGATCAGGCTACACTGGAAAGCACTAATATATAAGCAATAATGTAATAATTCAACTATAAACCGTCCCAATACTCCACATTGATCCTCCGCACACAATAGCTATTCCGATAACTTCAAATGTATCCAGCAAGACCACAGACAACTGCGTATGACCTGCACAGCAGACCCACACCTCTTCCCCAAAGCATCTTCCTAAACCGCAATAGCAGCATCAACAAGAGGAGCCGCCTCCTCACGCTTAGAGCCCTTGGGCGCCTGGTCTGCAAAGTCCTTCGCACCGGTGTTGATGGCGTCAGAGATACCGCCAGCAATGGAGCCAGCCAGGCTCTGGAGATTCTCAGGGACCTTAGAGACGATCGTGTCGGACAGCTTCTTGGCAGCAGCCTTCTGCTGAGTCAGGTCGTTGTAGGTCTGCGTGCCCTTGCCGGCCTTGACGATGAGGCTCTTCTTGCCGTCCAGCTTGTTGATGACGGCGGTGATCTTGTCCTTAAGGTCGTTGACAGGGCCGGGGAGCCCCAGGGCGTCACCGCTGCTAAGGGCGGCCGTGCTGCTGACCTTGGTGTTGCCGTTGTTGATGGCCGTCACGAGGGTGTCGGAGGCTTGCTGGACCTTGGCGACGTCGCCACCGTTGTAAGCTTGGATAGCGGAGCCCAGGGCGTCGACCTTGGTGCCAATGCTGGAAAGGACACCGGTGATGGTGGGGAGGTCGCACTCCTGAACCGCGGTGGGCGCAGCGAGGGAGCCGGCGGCGAGGCCGAGGGTGAGGATGGAGAAGATGGAGAGCTTCATGATGATGGTTGAGATATGGGGATATGGATGTAATTAAGAGTTGGTAGTAGAGTTATGTTTGCTGATTGCTGCTGATGATGATAGGGATGATGATTGAAGGACAATTGAGCGACCTTTATATAGCTCTCTGGCTATGGCCTCATGGAGAGAATGCAAACTGGGAAAAGAACGACGTCGATGATTCTAAATTGCTGGCAAAGCCCGAATAGTAGGTCATCCCCCAACAAATGACGATGTGCAAACCCCTGAATTGTCAGTGATTTACAGGGACTGGATCACGAACGGTTAGAAAATGGCTGAATTTCCGGGGAAGTTGAAGCAGAGACCCAAAAAGCGGGTGTTTTGGAGCGTTTTCCGTTTGCTTAGTTGGAACTTTAAATGTTAATACAGAACCCCGTCCCACGGGGGTTGTTCACGAGGATCATACACTGATGTCGATCTTTATTTATAATTTAACCTTTTGCTTCAACTTACTGCCTGTGGTCCTGATTTTTTGGTTCGCACATCATCGCGGGAGTTTATTTTGCGGAGCTCGGGATCAACCGCCAAGTTATGAGCCAACCAACCCAGATCGAATGGTTTCATGATGTGGAGTTTGCGATTCTACACTCAATTTGATCCGTAGGGGTTTGGGTTTTGTTGGGAGCTTTGACCAACACCAATTATGAGATTGTTACATCCTGCTCCTAGCGGCTTCGTCGCAGGGAAGGGCGATTGCGGGATCACCTTTGATCCAATCACTACCAGGCGGCCTTTCTGGAGGACATGAATATTGTTACCGCCGATCAGGACTCCGGATTGTATCAGGGTGTGTTCATCAGTCGTGCTGCACTGGCGCTTCACGCCTATACAATGCTAAGCCACGGGGCGGTATCATTGGGAAAGGGAGCTGGAAGGTGGATGATATGGGCGGGATGGCGAGTTAGGGTACAAAGGAAGGGTAGCAGTGTTATTAGGTCCAGTCACGCTGATGGTTATATTTACAGCTGCTGGGCTTGTTCGACATAATGTTTTGTGTCCTTAGTGCAGATCTGTGTTTTACTCGCCTTCTGCTCGACAATGGGAGATTCTAGATTTTGTATATTGTTTATGATTGCATTTACGAATGGATTTATTTTTTTTTTCCTCCTTGGATCGCAGCTAGCTACATCAAAATAAATAACATGATTCGCTACCAGAGTTGGTGTATAGTGCAGAAAACCAGTTCGTCTCCCGAAAATGTCCACACGCATGCTACCTGGACGAGACCCATACCAAGCTCAATCAAAGTCGCGCATATCACTAAGACACACCTATACACAGATTCATTCAATTGTTATGATATGATCCTGATTGTTGTCAGACTTTGGGGGGTCATGATTGATTGGCGCCCTTCGAAGGCCGCTGCGTACTTATCTGGGGTGACGAGTACGCTCCCAGGGTCGTCCTGGTGTTGGCTCCTGTGGGCCGTTATCTGGATCCCAAATTAGGGGACAGCGAATTAGGGGACAGCGATTTATCGGCGGCCTTGCCAAAGGGCGTGCAAGTCTGGGATCACGAGTGTACTCCGGGTCGTACGAAGGTTGTTGTGCTTTTGGTTCCTCCGGACAGGTATCTAGTTCGAAACGTACGCGTTTCTTGGAGCTACCCTCCTTGCCAACCCGGTTTTTGTTGCCCTTTTCCACCTCTTTATCTTGCTTGTGTTTTAAATTGGCAAGGTCCAATTTCAACTTTTTATTCTCTTTTCGGAGTGCCCCAATCTTCTCAATCGCATCACGGGATACGTCGTTGCGCTCGTTTTGCAATTTCGCACACTCCAACAAAGCCGATACCCGATCCTCTTGGGCGCGAAGACAATCTTCCTGCAATTTCTTGACCAGTTGCTTCAACATTTCGATTTCATCGGAAGAATGCGCAATTGAACCGCTGGCTGCGAGCGAAGCTCGAAGCTCCGCGAGATCGCTTCGAAGCACGTTAAGGTGATCTTCAGTGAAATCGAATACTTTCTGTGGAAGTCGTTGAGGGTTTTCTGCAGAGGATTGAGCCCCTGCCAATTGTAGCACAGAGAATGTTAGTTCACAGGTCGGTTCACCAGGAGATTCAGCTGAAAGGGTTGGGATCATGGTGACTGAGTTGCTTCTACCTGCACGCTCTGGTTCAAACGCCATGTCAAGTTCGGGAGAGGCGCACATAGCCAGACGCAGATTCTCAGATATAATCTTTAAACGTGCATCACGAGCCTCAACATCCTCATCCATGATATAATATGGATAAAATGCTATCAGAGGAGGTATTTGTGGTTAGAAATGAAGACAACTTTCGAGAGAGAGGAAGGTTGTGAGGAAGAAGTGAGGAGCTGCACAGGAGAATCTGCTCGTCAAAGCCTTTTCTTGACAGTAGATGTGAATATCGCCATGGTGATAGATCGATTAGTCGTTCATTTGTACGTGTGAAGGGTTCCTAGCACCGGCGGGTCAGTTATAAGTATCAGTCATGTAGTTTGCTTGCTTCCTCTTTATCGTCATCCTTTCTGTACAACAGATCGTGACTGTTAGACCTGTTGACATCCCAAGTGAGTGACAAAAGCAAGCCCTGTTATCATAGAAGCACCTTACTTATCATATATTCAGCTCATCACAAGTTTGGAACGTGAATTCATCAATTCTAATTTCGAAAAGATCATCTGCGGACCAACAGTTTGAACTCCTGCAACCTGCATCGTCTCTGTTGAAATCGCGCATTTACCTACATAATTGCCTTCAGACCAAGACCAACCCAATGCCCAACAACATGAACGGACGCCCTGTTCAAGAGGCTCATATAGATGGAAATGAATCATCTGATACAATTGAAACATCCAGCAGTGTCACTGTTGGGCTGATGGAGAGGGAGATCAGGGACCAGATCATGGCCCTGCAGGGAAACAGGACGAATGAATTTGAGCAACAGCTCTATATCGAACCCTACACTGCTATAGAAGCGCAAGAGGGAGGAACCGAGGGAGGAACCGATTCGCATACGGCTCCTGTAGAAGAAGTTCCGCGCCGTCACGGTTCGGTTATCGACCTGACATCTATGCCCGCCCCTCTCGAAAAGGCTCTCGCCAAGATCAGATCGGCAGGAGTGCCAGAGGGCAAAGTTCTCCGCTGGCTGGTGACTTTGGCCCAATGGCGAAGCGACGAATTTGTCGCGGATGCTGTCGAGGATCTAGAGTTCTTTTTAGATTTGTTCAGACTGCGCTTGGAAACCTTTCGCAATGGAGCTGTTGCGAGAGATCCTAAGCTTCGCGCTGCATTGTGGCGCGCTGAGATGAACGCTTTGGATTCTCCTCTCCTCAAGAGGCCGCGGCGTGAATAGTACCCCTTCTAATGCCGGTACCTTTGATCTGTTCTCTTATGGAAGGTTATTACCCCTTTTTGGCTCTCGCAAGAGTATCTGTGTCTCGAATTGGCTCAACTACGCCTACTTTCTGCTTTTGTGTATCTGTTAGGGTTGCCTTCCTGAGACAAGAGACATAATCGCCAAACCTCTCGGTGTTCAATATCATTAGGGGAACATGACTGAGCACACGATGATAATACAATATATTGCTGTCAATGGGTTAGGGCGGGCTGTTGTCTGAAAGACTCTAGGGCCATATTTATTTAAGATACGGCTCTTGAGGTAGGTTTTGAAGCAGGGGATGTTTGTCTTCTTTCCTCTAAATTCATCTTCAAGGTTACTTCAGAATGGAGGCAGACAGTTATTGGGTTCGTCTTTCGTCCAGCTGGACTCATCTGCCGCATGGGTTTCTTCCCCTCTCATCACAAAGGCATGCAGATCTAGGAAAATGCAATAATCTAATAACCTTGGGTATCGTTCTTTTACTTGGTATGATTCTGGTCCTGGGTTGGATGGGTATCTCTCTCCAAAGGGAAGGAATTGGAGTATCCATCATCACGAGCAGTCATAGTTCCTTGGAAGGATTATATCGATATTAATTTCCACATTTAGCTCTCCCAAGTATCTGATATTAAGTAGTAGTAATAGGCGAGAGCCGGCAATGCTTCGAGAAATAGCTGTCAAAGGAGTGACTACATATACAGCCTTTATGGATATTGGTTTTGTAGCACGTATCCGATTTCAATACCTCAGATTAACAACTAAATCCCAATTATATCCTCACTTTTCGAAACATGTCCCTAATACTAACACCCGGTGTCCTTACGCATAAGAATAACAAAAGCAGAGACAACATCTATGTAGGCATCTATGTCCTTCAATAACCCGGAAGAAACCCCTGCACCCTCTCACAAAGCCTCAATCGCCTTCCTCAACACCTCCAGACTGCGATCACTCACTTCCTGAGCACCCTCGTCACTCTCAGCCATCGTGTCCCTCAACGCCCAGGCAACATCACTCCACCATCCCATCCCTACCAATCCACCTCCCTTCCTCCTCTCCAAACTCTCCTTCAACCGACTCGTATGCTCCCACTGCTTAGCAGCCACCTCTGCTCGCTCAATAACCTTGTCCGGAATGCCACACATCGCCGCACAATGCATACCGAAACTGCCCTCCGCAACGCCATCTTCAAGCTTATACAAGAACGTAACGCGGCGTTCCTCATCGTCAACGTGGATGCGCATACGCTTTGGTGCGATTTCAGGATGTCCCTCGAATTCGGCAGCAAGGGAGTGGTAGTGGGTCGCGAAGAAGCCGAGAGCGCCGATGTGCGTGGCCACGTGGTGCAGCACGGCTTGGGCGACTGCCACACCGTCGTAGGAGCTGGTACCGCGACCCAGTTCGTCGAGGATGACGAGCGAACGGGGTGTGGCTTCGGAAAGGATCTTCTTGGTTTCAGAAAGCTCGACGAAGAACGTCGATTGAGCTGCGAAGATGTTGTCGTTTGCGCCTAGACGGGACATGATTCGGTCCACTGGGGTGAGGCGCGCAGATTGGCAGGGTAGGTAGCAACCGATTTGGGCCATGATTACGGCAACGCAGGTCTACAGATTCCAGAGTTAGTCTAGGTCTTCTCAAACAAGCTATGGAAGGGACAGGGCTGGCTCACCATTCGGAGGACAGTGGATTTTCCGGCTGCGTTGGCTCCGGTGAGGAGGTCAATGTTCGCGTGCGTGCCTCCGAGCTGGACGTCGTTAGGGATGAAATCACCCACTGAGGAGATCAGGCACGGGTGGCGCAACTCCTCGAACTCGAGAACGCTTCGCTCGTCGTCCACAAAGACGGGTCGGCAGCTGGGCTGGCCGAGAGAGGATGAGGCCTTGGCTAAACTGATGAGACAGTCAAGCTGGGCTACAATACGGACGGCAGCAAGCCAAGTGGTGTAGTTTTCGTCAAATCGTGCATAGAATCGGCCAGCGACTTCTTTGACGATTTGACTGTGTGTTTCTTGAGCCTCCTGCAACTGGCGGATGAGCTTGCGCAGCTCCGGGAAGTAGTAGCGCTTGACTTGTTTCGTAGCAGACATTTGGTCCCAGTTCTTTGGGATGTTCTTGACTTTGATCGGCACCTCTAATTGGTAGATCTCTTTGCCGTTGTCCTTGTAGATGATAGCGGAAGATCCAAGCTCTTTGCGTACACGCTTCAGCAAGCTCTCCAGGTCGCGGTGGATTTGCTCAATGTTCTCCTGAGAGCTGTCAAAGTCTTCCTCAACACCGGGCTTCGGTACCAAGATGCCATTCTCCCTCGCCTTCGAACGATCAAAAGCAGTCTTCCAGTACTCGAGCAGGTCATTTAGGTCAGGCATTCCGCTGATTAACTGCCCAATGACACCTTCTCCTGCCGAGCCACTTTCCTTCAGTAAACTCATGGTGTACTCAATCTGCTCAAAGCCTTCTAGAACGCGCAAGAAGTCTTGGGCCTTGCAGTTCGCAGCATGGACGCGGGATATGAGTCGCTCCAGGTCAGGCATTTTGGTCAGCTGGGACGAGAATTGGTCCCGGACAGTAGGATCAGCATTGAGGGCATCCACGGCATCCAAACGAGCATTGATCTTATTTGCATCCACAAGCGGGTGGCATACCCACTGCTTGAACATCCGCTTACCAAAAGGTGTGATACAGCGGTTCAAAAGCTGGAACAAGGTGCCCTCAGAGCCGCCATCGAAAGAGTTGGAGAATATCTCCATGTTGATAAGAGTTTGACCATCCAGCACCAGGCTGGTAGCCTTCTTGATCGGATCATAGGCAGTGAAGTTACCAATGGTGATCAAGTCACGGTCGATCTTGAGGAGTCGGAGGTACTGCACCAAAGCACCGAATGCGGACATGACCAATTCTTTGTCGCGGGCTTCTCGGAGTGCCTCAGGCCAAGCTTGCAAGTTATCATCGTCCTGTGAGACGAAATACTCGCTCGCATCGAGCTCCTTTACCGTAATGTCAGCCTCCCAGAACTCTTTCACCGGCTTCAAGTGGTTCCAGAGCGTAGTCGGGCCAGTGTTATTCTTCAAGATGCGCAAAGCCTTCTGGGACACTGCAGACTTTTCCAAAAGAAGCTCCTGTGGTCGGGTCTGCGCGACAAAAGTCTCAAACTTCGTCATGTCAACATCGTCCACAAACTCAGACAGGAAAAATTGGCCGGTTGCAGTATCAACGAAAGCGATACCAAAGGCAGGCTTGTCATCGATTAGAGCCTCCTTGATAGCAACACAGTACGTAGACATGTCATCCTGCAGCATGGAGCCTTCCACAAGGGTACCGGCCGTGAGAACTGACGACAATTCTCTTCTAATGACTTTGTCTTCTTTACCTCCGCCCTTCTTACCATCACGTTCGCGCATCTCCTTGCCCAGGGCTGACTCAATTTGGTCAACACGAGCGATCTTGAACCCCTTTGCCACGAACTGGTTGGCCCAGTGATCCAAACTCATCTCCGGAACACCAACCATGCGCATGTTCACACGATCAGTAAGCTTTAGATCGAACAATTGATGTCCGATGGTAGCATCATTCTCATAAAGCTCGTAGAACTTGCCCTTCTTGAAGAAAACAACAGTATCCCAGAATTTCTGCTTGATCTCCCAGTATTGCTTCTCGAATGGCGAGAACTTGGTCCAAGCTAATGGTGGGATATATAGAGTGCGAGGATCATACTCGGGGTGGCCGATAGGATGCCCGTCAATGTCTCGGATATTTGCAAGCCAGGCATACCGTTGTTCAGGCTCTGTCACATGTGCTTTCTGCTTCGTGGCTCCCGATGATTTCTTTGGAGTAACCGGTGCTGTACGAGGCTGGCGTGGCTCGGAGCTCTCTGGGTCGTACGTCCACTTGAGAGCTGTACCGGCAGATGCGTCTGGTATGTCCAGGTCCAAGTCCTCATCAAATGATACAGGTGGTAAAGAGGAGGACTTGCTCTTCGGTTGGGTCGACGGTCTCTTGCGCTTCTTGGATGGTTTCGCTTCTTCGTCCGAATCGTCTGCAACAATGAAGTCGTCCATTTCTAGAACCAGTCAGAATAGCATGCAGAAATGTGGGAACAAAAACTCACCATCATCGGAGTAGCCCACATCTCCGCCATCGTTGAACTCATCATCACTTTCAGGAGACATCTTCCTTCGCTTGTTCCTGCTGTTGCGACTAGGGCGGAATATCTTCTCGTCGTCATCTTCGCCTTCGGAGTCGGATTCGACGTAATTGACCTGCTTCTTAGCCTGGAAGGATAAGTTGTCAGCACATCTGAAATATATGAATGCCAGGGTTCAGGTCCTTGCCCGTCGCGATGGAGACGCCGTCTTCACCTCGGATTTGCCATTCGGACTCTCCTGCAGCATCATGTGTTAGTCGCCAATGCCGATAACACACCGCTGTCTGCAAATCGCACCTGTGCATTATCATTCTGCTCATCCTCCTCCGGAATCACTAGGTCACTACTAGGCACCGGCTCCAATTCCTGCTTGAACTTGGGAACGCTCTTCTTCCGTTCCGCCGCGCCCTTGGCACCTCCGCGTCGCTGCTCTGAGACCCTCTCCGCCGGAGAAGAAGCAGGCTCCGCATTACGAGAAGTGGAGGGTGTGGATGGAGACGACTTCTGAAAGAACCCAAGAATTGACTTTTGGTTTTTCATGTTCTGGGTGCTGGACGTGGAACGTTTCAAGGCTCCGGTGGGCGGCGTCGCAGTCGTGGGAGAGGAGGCGGCGGGGGTTCCTCTAGCCATTATGGGGTATATTGTTATATATCAGGGGTAAGGTTGATGGTAGTTTATATCATGCTTTATAATAAAGAAATAGGCCCAATGAATGGGTCAATGGATTTAGGAATAACGGACGGAGGGGATGGACATCGGACAGGGTGAATCTGGGCTGGACAGTCCCTGGGGAGCGCAGCGAGAAACGGGCGTCACGCGTCGACGCGTTAAGTGGATTTCTGCCGCCGCCTTCTGCTTCGAGACTGACAGCCCGGCTGCTCCTCGCCCAATGGAAACCCGGTGGAGATCGGAGTATGGGGTAAACCGGAAGTTTAAATTCGATACATCAACTGGACGTGTAGTAGCATGGAAAGGGCGTTCAAAAACTCCTTGCAA